GAGGAGTTATTGCCTATTGAACTAAATGGTTTTGACATCGTGCTGGGAATGGATTGGCTTAGCGCCAATGACGCCGAGATATTGTGCAAAAAGAAGATAGTTAAAGTAAACCCACCAGAGAAAGAGTCATTTATGGTGTATGGGGACAAACGCAGAGTAAATTCTGGGATCATTTCTCTAATGAAAGCAAGAAGGTGTTTGGCCAAAGGATGTACATCATATTTGGCATTCGTGATTGATGCAAAGAAGGAGAAAAAGGTGATGCAGAGCATTCCTGTCGTGTGTGATTATCCGGAAGTATTTCCCGAAGATCTTCCTGGATTACCGCCTGATCGACAAGTAGAATTTCGTATTGACTTGTTACCAGGAACGACGCCAATAGCAAAAACACCTTACCAATTAGCACCAACGGAGATGAAGGACCTGATGATGCAACTTCAGGAGTTATTGGACAAAGGATTCATTAGACCTAGTTCATCACCCTGGGGAGCTCCGATGTTATTCGTGAAGAAGAAAGATGGAAGTATGAGAATGTGCATCGATTACAGAGAGCTGAACAAGGCAACAATAAAGAATAGATATCCGTTGCCGAGGATTGATGACCTGTTCGATCAGCTACAGGGTTCGAGCTATTTCTCGAAGATCGACCTTAGGTCAGGATATCATCAGTTGAAGGTGAGAGAGCGGGATATCGAGAAGACTGCATTCAAAACACGATATGGACACTACGAGTTTTCGGTTATGTCGTTTGGACTAACCAATGCTCCAGCAACATTCATGGATTTAATGAACAGAGTTTGTAAACCGTTCTTTGATAAATCTGTGATAGTATTCATAGATGACATTCTGATTTACTCAAAAAGCCAAGAGGAGCATGGCAGACACTTGCGCGAAGTGTTAGAAGTCTTGAAGAAGGAGAAGCTGTATGCTAAGTTCTCCAAATGTGATTTTTGGATTCGAGAAGTCCAATTCTTGGGTCACGTGGTCAACCAAGAAGGAATAATGGTTGATCCAGCAAAGATTGAAGTTGTGATGAAGTGGGAACAACCGAAAAGTCCCACGGAGATCCGAAGCTTTCTGGGATTAGCCGGATATTATCGGAGGTTTATCCAAGGCTTTTCTTCGATCGCTACTCCACTAACAACTTTGACCCACAAAGGAGCTACTTATGCTTGGAGTGATAAGCACAGAGGATTGGGAACCAAGCTTACAAGCTCGAATTACCCGAAGAACTGAATGGAATTCATATCACTTTCCACGTGTGTTATTTGAGGAAGTTCACGGGAGAAGTTCCCGACATAATTCCAATTTCTGAATTAAGAATTGATGAGATCAAAAGATTGATTGAAGAACCAGAGGCAATTGCTGACTGAAAGACTAAGAAGTTGCGACGCAAGATGGTCGAATTAGTGCTTGTCCGATGGAGACATGCGAATGGGCCAAATCTCACCTGGGAGACGGAGAGTGACATGATGAGTCGCTATCCGCATTTGTTTGTTGATGTGTGATTCCGGGGACGGAATAATCCTAAGGTGGAGAGAATTGTAACGCCTGTGTTTCTGGGCTAGGCATTAATGACGATGCAATAATCTAGGTTAACCTTTGTAACTCATTTTGAAATAATAAGAATGTATTATTTGAGTATTATGTGTTTTATGCTTAATTGTGTGGCCTAATTGAATTAAGAATAAAAATAAGCGTAAAAATAAAATGTTAGATAAAACCGATATCGATACATGAAGATGTAGTGGTCGTGACAAGGATTCCGTATATATAAAGAATGTCGAAATCCGAGTTATAACGAAGAAGTTATGACCCGTCGAAGTTTCGCGACAGAACCGACACGACGCTGAATGACATAAAATATGAATTTAAGATAGAGTGATATCTAGCCTTAGTGATCTAAACGAAAGTCGTAGAATATGTTAAACCGAGAGTGTGCATAAGAAGAACTTCTAAATCTGACTTCGTATGAGAAAGTTATGATTTTTTTAAGTTTCGACTTAGCAGTATGCAGCCCGAAACTTGAATATGAGATCGAGGGATTTCTAGCCGAAACAATCTAAACGAGAATCGAAGATCTCGTCGATAGTAGTCCAACGGTAAAAAGACAGACAAAAACGGACGTCAGATGAAGAAGTTATGAATTTCTAACAGAGTTTTCCTGTCCCGGCCTACTAAAAATAATATAATAAAAATAACGTCAAAATTAGCCGACGGAGTCTAAATGAAAGTTGTAGAGAATAGTCTCACATTCGCGTGGATATAAAGAATGTCGAAAACGGAGCTCGTATGCGCAAGATATGATTTTCTGAAGTTCGAGGCGCGCATCCCAAAGGGGGAACGCCCCGCGTTCGGAGCCCAGAGCCTGTCCCGTCGCCTGTCAAGTCCGAAGTTCGTAAGCAATGACGCACGGCGGAACGCGCTGCGTTCGTTCAGGGAACGCGCTGCGTTCGGAGGGTCAGCCTCCCCTATAAATAGAATGCAAGGTCTCCGGGATTTGTTGCTTATTTCTCCTCTCTCACCCTTATTTCATCGATCTACGTGCAAGTTATACCCCCGAAGCCCCGGTATCATCCCGAGACCCGAAGCGAGTCCCGAAGCCCCGAAGATCCCGAGAAGTAAAGTTTCCGAGCCGAAACTCTGCCCGCGAGAAGCCCGGTTTTTGTGAAGATCTCCCGGTTTCACCGAAGAAATACTACTCTTAGAGCCGTAGTGCTGCCCGATCATTTTCTGATCAAGTGAGTGTATATTCGTTTTCTTCTAACACATAGATATGAAATATTCTTTATAAAATACGTGCTATGTGTTTATATATTATTTGTTTATTTGAACTAGTTGTTGAATGGATGTTTTGTACAGGTTTTAAGCTGTATATAAATGTATATACTTTATCTACTAATATGTTGGGTAGAACATGGGTAGACAGTTGGTGTGTGATGAAATAAAATGATGAGAGGCCTCGATGTTGTTGTTGATCTAGTCATCTAGCGGAGTATGGATGACGACCACAGACTCTTTCTAGACTGTCCTGTGGAACGCTGGCAGGTTCATAACCTGTAGGTGTTGTGAACGATGTGTTCACCGGTGTACTCTATCCCCCTCATGGTTGCCTTTAGGACATCTATTGTTAAGGAAACCCCTTTGCAGTAATGTCCATCCCAATGAAAATCCTAGATTGGGTCCCTGGTAATAGATGTTGTTTTAGGGACGTAAAGTGAGGATAACGGGAATGGGTAATCGGGTTATTGTTGGTTGGTGAAATTAAATATAATTATTTATTGTGGGTTGAAAACCCTATATGCTCACCAGGCTCCAAAGCCTGACGCACTCAGTTTTAATTGCATTACAGGTAGTGGCGCGAGAGCATAAGATGGATGAATCATCGGGTTATTTTGTTTATAGGCCAGTAGTTGCATATAACTGTTGTAAGGCTTATAATGGGCCGTTTATGCTTTTGTGTCTGTATCGGAACATGACATCCCGAGTTTTGATATATAATGAAAATACATTTCTTTAAGAAATACTTTGATAAACTTTATTTTATCATATTGTGTTTTGGGAACAAATTCCGCAACTCTTTTAAATCAATGGATTTACTCTGAAATTATTTTAAAATCATAAATTAAATCGGTCTTTTCTGGCCGTGATTTTGAGGATGTCACATCAACTTAGGTCAAAATGGGGGGTTTATGACCAAAATCTTATGCATGCTAAATATACCCGGTTTGGTTTCATTTGGTAAATATATCATCATCCATAACATTTCTTTCTTTCATTATCGTTTTACCATCTCTGTTTTCTTTCCTCAATTATCGTTTATTACTTCACCCAAGTGAACATTACTAAACCCTAAACCTAAACCCTAAACCCTAAATTTAAACCCCTAAACCCTAAACCCCAAACATACACCCTAAACCCTAAACCCTAAACCTAAACCCTAAACCCTAAACCCTAAATCTAAACCCTAAACCCTAAACCTAAACCCTAAACCCTAAACCCTCAACCCTAAACCTAAACCCTAAACCCTATTGTGTCAATCTTGAATTTATATCTTGAAGTATTAATCGTGAATCCATTAACCGTAATCTTTATATAGTAAAACAATGTATTTTCAAAAGGTTTAGTACCTAAGCTTAGGTGGGGCTGTAATGTATATTCCCTTTTTCCTATATATATATATATATATATATATATATATATATATATATATATATATATATATATATAAACAATAAAAATAGTTAAAAAAATATAAAATTATAATTTTTTTTAAAGTACCATTTATTAAATATTTTTAAAACTATACCTATTCGATAATTTATAAAAAACACTTTTTTGGTAAAAAAAAACTCATTAATCATTAATCATAGATACATTGATGGAATTATATTTTAATAGTCAAAAACTGAATATTTTATAAAAATATAAATATTTAAAACTTTAATTATTTGATAAAATATTGCTAATTACAAAAAAAAAAAACTATATTTTATCATTTTTTTTCTCGGTTTAACCACCAAATATTTATTTGTATTAATAAAACCTCATTTTTTTTTATAAATGTTCCATCGGACCAGTTTTTTTTTATAAATGTTCCATCGGACCATTACGACTTATAATAATGTTAAAAAAACCACAAATTTTTATTTATTTTAAAAAAACCAACCATAATGATTAAACCGAAATTTTGAAAAAATATTAATATTTTTCTCATAATTAACCTATCACATAACATGTAATTGATTTTTGATCAAAAATTGAAACGTTTTATAAAAAAATAATGTTTTTTTTCGAAAAAAAAGTTGATAGTTAAACTTAATAAAATATAGTATTTTTTTTTGTAATTACTGGTAAATATTTAAAATTTTATATTTTATAAAAAAATACATTTTCTTTTCGGTCAAAAACTCAACCCGACCTACCTGATGAAACTTTCATGATTGATCCCAATCTGTCATTTTATCAAAGGGCCCAAATGAGCTCAGCGACACAGCGAGTCCTGACTCGTTCACTTCCATGATTGATCCCACGATCCAAATTGAACTTATACAGCTTTCTGAAAATCCCTCTTCCCACTTTACCCTTTCTCCTTTTCCTTTTTCCTTTTCCCAATTGTACACTCGAAAAGAGTTCCGATCAATTTTGCCTCTTCCCCGAACAGAAAAACCAACCCTTTTCGATTGGAGTGTGTGTTTGTATCTCACAGCAAAAAGTATGATCCCAGAAACGAAAAATCGTTCATAAAAGCATAAGAAGCCCCTTTTCTCTTCTTTCAGAAAGATAGATCACTTTTAATTTAGAGACAAGCAAACTAAAATCAGCAAATGGGACGACACAGTACCTCATCAAACTCAACAAGCCCAGAAAGGAATTACAGCAACATGGACACACAAGTTTTCCTGAATGTATATGATCTTACCCCTATCAATTCGTACAGCATCTGGTTTGGATTTGGTATTTTTCATTCGGGTATTCAAGGTGAGCAAAAATCCAACCTGATCTAATTCCATTTTAGGCGATTTTGTATATGGTGATGTGGGTTTAGTCGACTGATTTGAAACGTTAAAGGGTTTTTGTTTTAGTTCAATGTTTTATGAGGTTTTTGAGTAGGGGTTCTTGAGCTTTTCAATCATGTCTTCTTGATGAAAACAATCATTTGGGCTTACTTTTCTTTCGTAATTGGTTTTGTAGAATGATCTGTAACTGCAATGAGTTTATGTTTTAACTTAATGATTTATGAGGTTTTGGAGTACAGTTGTTTCTTCATCTTTAAAAGATGTCTTCTTGATGAAGTTTAATGGTGATCATGACTTAACGTTTCATGGGTATTTAGTTTTAATTCCCAATTGTACAAGTAAAATGATTTGGGTTTCCTTTGATTTGTATACGGTGATATGGGTTTTGCAGAATATGAAAGCTTTAATTGGAATTTTCTTTTAATTCAATGTTTTATGAGCTCTTTGGTGTTCTTGAGCCATAAAAAATGTCTTCTTGATCACTGCTTACCAGTGTGCATGCTATGGTATGTGTTATGTATACTAAATGAATTGGAATCTTTCAAAAATCCAAGATTGTTCATGGGTTATTTTGGGATTTTACTTTTAGGTTTTATGAATTTAGTTTCATTTGGATAAATCAAGTTTCTTTAGTTGTAGAAGATGCTATGTTGATTGAATTTTATTCAAGAATATTCATAGGTTTTCAACATAGAAATGATAGATAAAAAGCTTTATGTACTCTATTTTAAGCTGTTCTTTCTGTCTCTTCCCATCAAGATAAATGTGAAATTACCTAATTACCCCTTTCTTTGTTACAGTGTATGGTATGGAATACGGATACGGGGCTCATGATTTCCCAATTAGTGGTGTGTTTGAAGTTGAACCCAAGAGTTGCCCTGGTTTTGTTTATAGATGTTCAATCCCATTAGGGCATGTAACAAAATCACCATCCGAATTTAGGGAATTTATTGAGAATGTGGCTTCAGAGTATCATGGAGACACATATCACCTCATTTCCAAAAATTGCAACCATTTTACAGATGACATTTCCCAAAGATTAACTGGCAAAAGTATCCCTGGCTGGGTCAATCGACTCGCCAGATTAGGTGCGTATTTTTTATTTTTTATGATGAGGGTATTTATGTCTTTTTGCTTTTGTCCTATTCATTCATTAATCAATACATGTCAAGTAGTGATATTTTGGTTTTATAATGTGTAGGTGCTGTTTGCAGTTGTCTACTTCCTGAAAGCCTTCAAGTATCTGCTGTTAAACAGCTTCCCGAGTATCATAATTGTGGTATGTTTTTTACGAGTTTTTATAAATGTTTTATATGTGAAGGTTTCTTTTTGACTTATTGTAGATAAAGTATGAGAGATGAGTCCTGCCTTTTACAAATTTGCCCTTATGTATTTTTTCCTTATATTTTCTAATGTTATTCTTTTAACCCTGGACCAAAATTTATCCTTTAGGCCAACATCTTAGAGCATCCACAATAGGAGCTTTTGATTGTTCTTTTATTTGTTTAATTTAATGTAAAATAGATATATTAGAAATGTTGTAATAGTAATATTTTGATCTGATCGATTTACAGAAGAAGATGGGAACACATCTGTGTCAACAACCAATGCTCAAGAACCTCCTCCTCCTACAGAAGAAGAATATGACAATGATGAGCAAGATAAACACCTCCTCCCACCACCCTACAATGATGTATCTTTTATCAAAGAGGTCGCTAGATGAAAACCAAAAACCCACACTTTCTTTCATAGTAATTTGTTGAAATTTCAAGTGATTTTTTATTTTGTTCCTAAGTTTATTGTTTTGTTTATCACTTCCGTTTGTTGTACACAATCGAATGTACTTTTCTGTAGATTTTAAACCCAAGTATTTATAATGATTGATTGTTTGGAACCACAACCAGAGTGCCCCATGTAATTTTCACACCCATGTTTAAATGAACACCCATGTAACCAACACACATGTTTAAATGTTTGACCAAATTATATTTCACACCACATCACAAAATATTCCTTTTGGTTTTGATTTTGCAATCGATGAAACTAAGACTCGCACTTGAGCTCTAATTTTGAAGTTAGCCACGAGCAAACATCGTCCATCTCTTCGGGCATCGTGTAGTGGCCAAGCCTGTAAAAAAAAACAGTTAGTACTGTGTTTGACATGCATTGGACTGATACTGATATTGCGATTTATCTGAATGAGACAAAAGTTGCGTTTTCTTTGTCTCATACAAAAAGATGGGGAAAAGATGTAAATGCCCTCCTCAAAACATTTATTAGATTTGATGGAAAGGTTACATACGAGTCATAGGTTTTGAAGGTCAAGTTTTTAAAGCCAGTTGAAGATAGTTTCTCTGATGACTTGTCACCATAACGGAAGAGAACCACATCATCAACTGAAATCAAATTGTGAAAGTTAGAAATGCAAGAAATAGCAACATACTTTGAAAAATCGGATTTTTTCATAAATAAAATTAATTAAAAAAAAGTACCTTTTCCATGACATAGCAAAATGGGCAAAGATGATGCTCGAGCTGCAGCTTCATCCCCTTCTACTTTGTTACTTAGGTCCCTAGCAAAGAATATCATATCACCAAATAAGGTGTTGCTTGGGGAAGGAGAAAGGGTAAAATGGTAAATAATACTTGGCACATGGAAGCCAGCCACTAAGGCCAATAACTGCATCCAAATGGGCTGAGTAAGCATTGTCATCCCCAAGTTTTCCATGAGCAAAGCAACTTGCAGAGTATAAAGCAGTGGCTGCACCCATACTAAACCCTCCTACTCCAAGTTTTACTGCCAAGTGGAAGAAATAAGTAGTGAGGGTATTTTGGTCATTTCCGGGGAAGAAAAAAAAAAATGGAAGCTACCATCTGGAGGCTCAGCGGAGAGGAGGCTCAAAACATGTGCAGCTGAAGCATCAAGTCCATCTACATCTTGTTTTGATTCTTCAGAAAGGTCACTTACATCAAACCCTAAAATCCATCACACCAACTTTTTGATAATTTCATGCATATTTTTTATTTTTTTTTACAAGAGCATAAAAACATACATGCATTTGAAGGAAAGCCACCAAATAATGTTAAGGGTTGAGAAGGAGATGTTGGGCATATCCATTTGATCTGCATCATATTCAGTTAAATTAATCTATGTTTTGTGTATAAATTATAAAACAGGGGTAAATGATTTTTTTTTTCAATAAATTTTAATAAAGGAATATTGTCCTTACATTTGGAAGAGGAAGGGTCTCCAAGAGCTGGGACCAGCTGTCAGGAAACAGAACATAGATCTCAGTAGCTAAAGATAAAAAAAAAATGAAAAAGATGATAGAAAACAGAGAAAAGAAGTTGAGAATTTGAGATGATGTTAGTATCACCTTGCACCATTGTCACCAAGGCCATGCAACCAAACAATGGTTGCCAGGTGTTTGCCTTTAGGTTTTACCACGTGTGTCTGTCCAAACTCAAATGCCCTTCTAGCAGTTCTACCACCTTTCATTAAAATATCCCATTTTCACAAAAATATAAAAGGAATTAACATAGAGAAAATGAACAAAAAGAAACTAACCAGAACCAAGAGAAGGGCCTCCAAGACTCATATTAATCACCAGAGATGTAATTTAATCGACTACAGCAGCCAAAGAGAATGAAATCTGCAACAAAATACATCAACAGTTCTGCATATTTGTACATTATACATGAAGATACTAAGATCATGCTCATTTTACTTTCTTCCCAACAATGAACTGTTTTCTATCGTAAAGTTCACAAATTAACTTTTCAAGTACATCATCAGGTTTCAACTTCCTGTTTGTTTTCATTAGTGATAATGAATTAATGATACTACTGATCATTTCTAAATTCCACGACAAAAAAATGCTACATAGTCAGCTAAATTAAACAGCAAATTTTGCCACTGAAAAATTTCGTAATCTTTAATGTCTCTGAATTTTGATCGCAAAAGCCAATATATATTGCAATTAACAGATAGAAAGGTATCAATGCTAATAGAGCCAATTTTAAACCTAAAACTCTAATAAATTAATATAACTTAATAGTTATATAACGAACTCCTTTCAATTTGTTAATTTCGCTGGTCACATAGCTTGATTATAGCTATAGATATAAATAATTCGACTTCATAGAGATTACGAGCCAATAACAGCGACTTTGAGGATCATAATTCGCAAAAAAAACTTACAGATCTATAATATTTAGGGAGTTTTTAGATCAGTATGTATCTTATGATGATAGAAAGGACGCGCCAAAGGAGCTTTTGACTTACTTCTCACGCTTTTGCGATCGGTCTTCTTCTCCCACTGTGTTTTTTAGCGTTGGCTTCGCATTTGATACCCCGCATGAAGGTGACTTCTGCTACCAATGGGATTATTTTAGTAAAGTTTGACATTCAGCTACCTCGAATTTTAGGTTTATTCTACTTTGGCCCCTTGGTTACTACTAAACTTTACAATATACCCATGTCATTTTTTTCTTTTACCCATTTCCTTATGACTAGAGAAATTAAGGGTGGAAAACGTTCGTGTCGGTTGAAACTTAAATGGGTTCAGATAACTTGACTTTAAACAGACCTATTTAAGTATCATGTTGTGTCATGTCAAACTTGTTTATTTCCATGTCGAGTTCGTGTTAGATTGTCTGTTTAGGGTTTAAACCTTGTAAATATGTTGTGTCGTGTTAGATTGAAACACTATAGGTTGAAAGAGTAGGGTGTGGAGAAGTGGGAAAAAATGAAAAAAAGGAAGGAGTAGTAGTTTGGTAGGTGAATGAGCGAAATCCACAATAAGTTTAGAGGAAGCAAGTCATACGAAAAGGGAAGTGGGCGAGTGAGATTGTGGTAGGGTGAGCATTTGGACCAGACCGGTTTTACAAAAATTGATGGACTTTGGACCGGACCTGTTGAGGCTTACTAGGTCCAAGTCAGGTCAGGTTCCTAGTTCTTGGACGTAAAATTGAGCATTTGGACTGGACGGAACCGTATGAGACCTATTTTGCAGAAGTTGGTAGACATTGGACTGCATCTGTTGAGGCTTATCAAGTACAAGTCCAAGTCCGATTCCTGGTACGGAGGTCCAACTGCTCACCCCTAGATTGCGGAGTATGAGATATTAATAATAAAAAAAAAACTAAAAATAAGTTTCGACTTCGGACGCTAATTAGTTACTACTTACTTCATATTACAAAACGATTCACCCTAAAGTTTTTATTTATTTATTAAATTTGGTTTTGGTTATGCACAATTTACCTAAAAATTTAAAACAAGTTGCATAAAAATAAACATGTTATTTTCATGTTGAAAGTTTGGACCGTAATCTTACCCATTTAATTTTGGTGTCGTGTCGTGTCAGCCCATTTAATTAAACGAGTTGAAATCTATTATTCAAACATGTTTGTTTGCATGTTGGATTCATGTCGTGTTGAGAATTAACAACTCTAATATAGATCATCTTCTAAAGTTGTTACTACTTTTTTTAAACATGAGGTCGTCCAAAGGTTGAAATATATGAGATTTTGTTGGATTTTTATTCAAAAATTGTTTCAAAAACATAAACATGGCAACAGAAGAATTTGATTTTGAACAAAATAAAACTAGTTTTATTCTCACCAAAAAGATCATTTTGCAAGACATAGAAATATAAAAACAACCATAGAAAGAAAAATGTTGCAACATTTGAAGACTTTGATTCTCATGGGAGATTAAAAGCTGATGAAGTGTGGCATGAAACTTCAAGATAGAAGTTATCTACAGATATCCACCAACAATAAATCAACTTGATAAGATGCTAGTCTTCTTCTTGTAATAAAAGAATCTCTTAAGCTCTTAAGACAAAGAAACTAGTTTGCCTTAAAAGAGAGTATTCAAGTATCATCTTCATCTTTATGTTCTTAACACTTTAAGAGACAAAAACTAAAGAGAATATGGAGATGGGAAGCCACAAATTTGTGGTTTTCACTTAGTGAAAGAAGTGAGAAAACTAGTTTTTTTAAGTCCTTACTCTAAGCCTTTATCCCATGGGTCTTAGCACTTTAAGACCTATGCTTCATCAAATCAACTACCCATGCTTTCTAAGAGCATTGTGTGTTGAATAAATTAATCAAACACAAGTCTTCTTTCTTATTTATGGTTGTAACGTCTGTGTTTCTGGGCTAAGCATTAATGATGATGTAATAGTTTAGGTTAACCATTGTAACTCGTTTAAAGTAATAAAGATGAATTACTTGAATATTATGTGAATTATGTGATTTTGTGTGCTTATTACTTGTTTATAATAATATAATAAATAAAGGATAAAAATAAGCGTCAAAAATATAAAATGTTAAATAAACCCGATATCTATGAAGAAAGCTGTAGTGGTTGTGACAAGGATTCCGGAGATATAAAGAACGCCGAAATCTGAGTTATAACGAAGAAGTTATGACATGTCGAAGTTTCGCGATAAAGCCGGCATGACACTGGGAATCGTAAAAAGTGAGTTTACGATAAAGTGCTTTTTAGCCTTAGGGGTCTAAAGGAAAGTTTTAGAGTACGTCTCCACCTACGTGTGGATATTAAGAACGTCAAAAACGGAACTCGTATGCAAAAGTTATGACCTTCCGAAGATACAGTTGTCTGAGAGCATGATACGTGTCAGAAACCCTAATCTGACTAGACTCACGACGTGAGCATAGATTCTCATGACGTGAGGAGTCAAATCGTCACTTTTGAAGCCTAGAATGCAGCTGGCAAGGCTACAGAGTGATAGGTCAAAAGCTCACGACGT